TTTATGATGTAGGGGCCACCTTTCTTGGGGCTTCAACCTCCGTGCCACTCCTTAACATGATTGCACTCATATTTTCTTTTGGATTCACCACTGTTTGAGATGGCAATTTTCTCGAATTTTGTGACTCCAGTCGACCAACCGCATTAGCCACTTGACCCATTTGATTCTCCAAACATTGAATGATAGCCCTGGTCTCCTGTTGAAATTGCAAAGTGCTAGTGACAAGGGATTTAACAATATCTTCTAAAGACATACCAGAGTTAGAAGTTTGGCCCTATTGTTGTCTAGAAGGGTTGGCTGATTATATTGCTTGAAATTCTGTCGATTTTGATTCATATGTTGATTTACTTGTTGATTCCGATAGCTAAGATTTGGATGATCCCTCCATCCTTGGTTGTACGTGTTTGAATAGAGATCATAATTCCTCTGTGGTTGTCCAGGAAAACTACCAGCTGCATTTACGTGTTCAATAGATTCTTCTTGAAGTGTTGGGCAAATATCAGTTGGATGGCCTACAAATGAACAAATTCCACATGCCTTCGCTGTTTGCATAGTATCTATAGCCATTTGACGAACAAGAGTCGTTAGACTTGCCATTTGTTGTTCAATGGATGACACATTTACCTCGTTAACATGTTTAGACGGTGTGTCGAGTTTAGTGCCAAATTGCTGAGAGTTAGCTGGCATATTTGCAATCAAGTTCTTTGCAGCCTCTGGAGTTTTATCTACCAACGCTCCTTCACTTGCAGCATCAATCATACTCCTATATGTGGGTAAAAGGCTTTCATAAAAGTATTGAATAAGGAGCTGCTCACTGATTTGGTGATAGGGGCAACTTGCGTACAATTTCTTGAACCGTTCCCAGTATTCATGCAATGACTCTCTGTTCTGCCTTATGCCACAGATTTCCTTTCAGATGTTAGCTGCCTTTGAAGCTGAGAAATATTTTTCCAAAAATATTATTCTCATCCTATCCCATGTAGCAATGCTTCCCGATGGTAGATAATAGAGCTAATCATTTGCCAAATTTTTCAAAGAGAATAGGAAGGCTCTCAATTTGATTTGTTCTTATGTGACTCCCGTAGGTTTCATGCTTGTGCAAACCACATGGAACTCATTCAAATGTTTATGAGGATCTATACCTACAAGATCATGAAAAGTGGGCAAAAGATGAATTAGCCGAGATTTTAATTCGAAAGTAGCAGCAACATCTAAATTAAGAAAAGTAATGCATAGAAGTTGTTGATTCAAGTTAGGGGCTACAAGCTCCTTAAAAGTTCGATTGTTATCAGTCATGACTTCCTCTTCCTTTGATTCAAAATCACCAGGGAATAAGGTCTCGGGATTAAAATTGTTCACTTTGAAATTCCACCGATTGCCACTCTTTAACCTGCGTAAAGTTCTTTCTAGTTTCGGATCGTACTACAATTCACCTTGATTAGAAGATCGAGTCGCGGGTATAAAAAAATAGAACAAATGAAAACAAATTAAAAAGAACCTAGAGTAAGAAAAACAAATATAATTCAAGTCTAAAATTCCTAAAAACAATAATTGCCTAAAAATTTAGAAAATTATGATTTTTTAAAAAAAATAAAATAAATAACTAAAGAATCACAAAAATAAATTAGCATAACTCCCCGATAACGGCGCCAAAATTTGGTGTGTGTTGTCGCAAACACCCAAAAGTAACACTTTAACCTCTAAAACTAATGTAGTAGTAAAGTAATGGTCGATCCCACGAAAAGTGTGCAATTCAATATTTTATGCTTCGTATAGTGATTGAGGGTTTTGTATACAAACAATTGTAAATAATGTAATCAATAACAATGAAAATTAAATGAACGAAAACAATCAAAAGACTAACATTGGTCTAAGTCCACATCCACTGTCGGAAATCCACGATTGATTATAGATGCAGTAATAATTCAATTCATATTTTGAATATTCATCGTTGAAATTGATTTCTATTTCTCCTTAATTTTAGTTAGTTAGAAACCAACGTTCTAGTTAACCCTAATTATTAAATAACCACAGACCAGTACTCAAAATTCAATTTAATAACAATTTTACACAATAGAGAAATCAATAAACTAGATAACACAAATACCAGCGGTTGCATTCAATTTATTTAAACATTCTTTGTAAGATTCAATAATCTCTATTGTAGAAAATCATCAAATCCTAGTGCTTCACAAGTTAAAGGGATCAAACAATTACGGATTTGATATTTAACTTAGCAGTAGATTGTAAGAATAACAAACTAGTGGCCTCCTAGCAACTAAACATAACAATCATGAAAATAAGTGTAAAAGAATATTCAATACGCAAAATAAGAATTAAATAATAAGAAAAACTATTTAGATCTCACAATATGTGGTTCCGAGGCTTCCGTTTCTTTCGACCAAGTGTAAAAGTTTAGTTACAATTCATGAATCTAAAAAAGAAATAATGAAGAATGGAGTTTGGAGGCATTCTGTACGTTCTTCCCTCGTTCTAGGGTTTTAAAATATGTATTTATAGTTGTTTCCATAGGTAATTGACTTAAATTCGGAAACTGGAGATTCGTCAATGAAAAATGCCTACGCGCCCATATATTTCCTTGCACGTGCGCCGTTCATTGGTTTTAGGTTTGGTAAGTAAAATTCATGCATGTGCGCACGCGAGAGAATTTGCCCCGAGCGCGCAGGTTTGTTTTTTAACAGCATTCGGTATTTTGTTCATAACTTTCTTTACAGGTATCCGATTGTGCTGATTCAAAATGCGTTGGAAAGCTAACTTAAATGGTTACAACTCGATCATTTGCTTCAGATACCATCTTTCAATTCGATTGTTTGCCATGTCAAAAATGGGTCTCAAATTGAGACTGAAAATTCGATACATAACTTTTCGATTGGAAATTGATGTGTGATCTTACTTTGACGATATTTCACCCCTTTGACTTCTTTCTTTATTCAATTAACTTCTAACACTCTCAAATCTTCATCATTTGGTTCGACACAACTTTGTGTATTTTCACGTTAGTTCTTGAAATTTCATTTCCTTTCACTTTGGTCATTTTTCACATATTTCTTCCAAATTATGTCATCTCTATTGAATTACCACCTAAATCAAAATATGTACATAATGAGTACATTTTGACATTGATTAATCATACGAGCACATAAAATAAGGAGGGAAAAACATGCATTTTGCATTCCTATCAATGGAGGATCTTCTAGGGAAGTGACTCAAACGCCTAGAGGCTATTAACCTCAGATTGGTGCTGTAGCGCATCGCAACGCATTGCCTCACCTCGTATATGGAGGCTCGACCTCTATTTGGGAGTTCGACGGAGTGCATCAATTTGACTACTGAAGGGTCTCGAATAGGTCATGTAGGATATTGATGTACACAATCATGCTTGAAGTCTCGTTAGATGAAGTGTAACACAAATGTGTTCGGCTTATAGTTTCCAATGCCTCATCCTCTTTTCATTTTCCTTGATTTTGGATTTATATGTACTTTTTAAAACGTTATGGGACCCTCCCTACAATTTTCCTCACTTTTTGTTTTTTTGTAACTTTGTTTTATTTTTGTTTATTTAAATAGGACACATTCCTTCAAAATGGACGAAAAAAAAAATGAGTTTTACTGTATAATTGAATTTGAATTGTATTATATTAAAAAAAGAAAAAATCAATGGTGGAATAATAATATATTGTAAAGGTTGAAGAGAAAAAGTACCAAATTTTCATTTTAAAATGTTGAAGATATAATTGTTCAAAAATCAAGTTTGATATCAAAGTCCAAACAATGATCATCTCGCAGGCCGTTTACACCCATTTTGAATAAATGGATGATTTCGGTAGGCATGACATAGATAAAGATAGAAACCGGCTTACACGAGAAGAATATAAATCATTTTCAATGATTCAATCCATTGATTTATCTATCTATTGAATTAGTAGCTCAAGTCGTTTCTTATGCTTTCAATTTTTTTTTTTTTTTTTGTGTTTTAAACCAACTTTTTGGAGTCCCCAGACCACGAAAAAGGTTTGAAACTTCGTTGATATTAACCCTTTATTTTTAGGCCGAACTTCCAAATAATTTTCATCTTCCATCCAATTTCACCCCATTCCCGTAGAGCTCCCCTTCTCCATTTCTCTAGCACTCTTTATCTCTAGGGGAATTTCAATCTCCATCACACTAATTTATCTCTTGATCCTTTGTTATCTGGTATGATCCCCCTCTTTTGATTCTATTACTGTTTAGCTACCATTTTAGGGTTTCTAATTTCTACTGTTTATACCTCACAAATGATTATTTTCTGAATTTCTATATTGGAATCAACTACTGATTTTCATTGATTTTCCACTTGCTGTTGTCTGATTATTGGTTCATGAATAACTGCTCTGTAGCAAAAACTTCGTGTATGGAGACAACTGCGAAGGATGATTCGGAAAGCTCGCCTACTTTAGCGAATGCTGTCGTGGAGCAGAACCACGACAATTTAGTCTCTGACTTATCGAATCATGGGTAAACTTTTCCTTTTCACACTGCAATTTACTATTTTTTTCTCAAGAAAATAGTTCTGCATTCGGGAGTAACATGGGGTTAAAGGTGTTAAGAAATATATTATTATTTTGTTAACATTATTTATTAAGGGTAGAATAGTCTTTTAAGTTTTCTTTATTTTTGACTATATATATAGTCTCTTTGTATCTAGGTTTTATTCATTCAATTACATTATGCAGAATCAATAAACCCTAGCCTCTTTTTCTTCTTCTTCTCTTTGAATTGTTTAACAAAAGGAATGATTTTCGATTATTGATGACGTTACATAAAATGGTTAATGAATAAAACCTCAACAAAGTGACAAATTCAGTACTCCAACTAAATGGGAAGTCTGATGGATCCCACAATTCTTCAAATGTATAGTCTTTATTGAGCCTGTATATTGAACTATCGATGTAATCTTTTTTTATGCTGCGCTCTTCTTAGCTATTATACTGCAGTATTTTTCTGTACTTAAGAGTGCAATGATTTTTTAGGGGAGTGAGGGTTTGGTTCCTCACCTGTCCTATATGACCAATTGTCTTTCATACAGTGATGAGGCTATTTCACAATGACTGTGGCATCATTTTTCACCCCATGGGATAAAGGAATAGAAAAGAATTTATTTATTTATTTATTTTTCACACTTAACTTAATTGATTTTTTTTCTTGCAAAAATGTTTCCTCCTTGAAGCCATACAGAATCACAGATTAATATTAGGGTGGACAGCATTGGTTTTACACATTTGCTTCTTCACATTGATAAAGAATAGTTTGTAGGGGTAGGGGTGGGGGTGGGGGTGGGAGGGGAATTCAATTCTTTCATTGTGCATTGTCTTATCGTGTAATTATTATTTAATTAAATCTAATGTCTATGAGATTTCAGTGGCCTGGAATCTAAACACGATTTTGCAGAAGAAGAAATAAGAGGTACATTGGAAATAAGTGCATCCACTGGGAAGTTTTGGTACGCTTTTATGTTGATAAAACTTCCTTTATATATGTGCATATTATATTCCAGTCTCTAAATTATTTGGCTTTGAAAAATTAAGTTTTTAGATGGACAAGCGAAATTGATGTGTAAGTTGACATATGCATATGATTCTAGTTTGTTACATCTATCATTGGATGGGTGGAGATGAGATGACTATTTTTGCTCATTCATTTATCCCCGTGTCATTTATGCAAGAATTTTACAGTTCCACCACCTGATTTTATCTCCATGTTTTCTTGTTAGCAATTTAGGTAAAGGAGAATTATATTTCCCATTTTAGCTGATTCTTGTTCTCTTGCAAGGCAGGATTCCAGTTTCTGCGCATAATTTGGAAATTATCTGTACAACATCTCTTTCTAACTTGCGATATATTTGGCTATAATTGTATTTGACTTGAAATTAGTAAGATAGTTTGGAATTTTTAAAAGCTTCAGCAACTGGGTATCCTGTATCCCTCTTCATTCTTTTGTACAAATCCTTCTTTTCTATAAACCTACGTGAATGAATGCTTCTAAGAATTTGAAAACACAACAGGAAATGAGAAGTTCCGCAGAGCACACTCTTGGTTGTTGACTTATCCTTAAAACACAATTTAGCATCATATTGTTCAAATCTGTCTTCATATATGAAGAAAAAGGTCAAGAGAAAAGCACTGAAAAATCCCATGGCCTCTTATAATGTATGTTAGCTGTTTCACCTGAAGAAAAAGGTGTTTAAAGGCGTGTTTTTCAACTATGACCATATAATTATCCTTCCTCGGTCATAATGTCTGCTAACCTCTTGACCTATGTATGAAGTTGTTAACCTTCATTAGGTAACAATAAGAGAGTTTTTGAAAATTCTGTATTCTGTAGTGCCAGGTCAGGCAATATTGATTTTATCACTTGGTGGTTTCACTTTCTATTCATTATTGAGTTTTCCTGTGGTCGACGAAGATTTTAGGACTATTCTGGTAAAGCCTTCTGGTAGAAATAGGGCTATTTTAGGTAGGCATAGTTGATTCCCTGAATTACTTAGCCTATGTTTGCCCATGTTTATAAATATTCAAACCACTTTTTATACACACATTTTGAGAGAACCACAAATAGTATCCACTTATCCTCCATTCATTTCTCTCAATTTATAATTCAAACCGTTTATGAACACTTCTCAAATATGCTTATTAGAGATTTGATCAGAAGATTTGTCACTGTGTGCCTTCTCAAACGTTGTCTCCTTTCTCTCATTCATTGATGATTTATTTGGTGTGTTACGGTACCTCCTTTTCTTATTTATGATATGAAGTGCACAAAAGGTAACGAGTTCTCTGTCCTTTATTTTTATGTCGGCTGTACTTAAGTAAATTCAGTTGGCAGTGATACTATATTATTTTGTAATTTACAAACAAAGAGCTGTTATGACATGGTATCCATATAATGCAATAGTTGGGAGTGGTGTTGTATCTGTTGACATCACTGATACATCAGTGATTACTACCAGTTAATACTTCCATTGTTTGAGTTCCCAATCTAGAGAGTTTGCATATACTTATTGCAAATATTTTAGGTTATAAATTCTAATGAATTTTGTGATGAATAGATTTCTACAGAGCCCTTGTTTGGGCTCCATTTTTCCAAGAAAATGCATTTTTGAATAGTAAAAATTTGGATAATGTGTGGTTAAAAAATTAAGCAAAAGTTTTCAGTTTACGGGTAAAATTATTTTATAAGAGAACGTGTGATTGAAAATGAGTGTTGAATATAAAAATGGAGCCCAAACATGGGCAGAATCCATAAGAATCTCATTAAAAATCATGAAATTTAACAAGAGTTTGTTGTGTGTATTTTAAGCATCAAATTAATCCAAATTTTTTGAAATCCCTTTATTAATGAAATCCTTGTAATTCTACGAGTTATTGGGTATACCTAGATTTTGAGAAAACTCATTAAAATTTCAATTTGGGACACCTGAACTTCAAAGAACTTTCAAAATCCATTAAAATCCTAGTTGAGGACACTCCCTTAATCTTGTTTCAAGGCTACACAAGTTTTTGTAACTTGGAAATTTTTCATTCAAGGAGGTGACCCAAAGATTAAGACCCTATTATATTAAAAATTTAGAATGTTTATTTGGACAAGGAAAATGTCACATCATGCCCTTGCTCAGATTATGTTTCTATTTGAGCAAATTTGATCAACCTTTTATATACTTCTCAAGTATGGCAATTGTGTTATTTATTGCTAATTGTAGACGACGACTTTCCATTAATGATCGCTTCTTACTATTTGAAGACTCCTTTTAGTTCGATCCTCTTATCTTGATTTCTCATTCTGAGGAATCCATGAATGGATTCCTAATGTATATAATACAAATTGTCCTTCGGGAGCAAGAATATCCAAGAAAGTTTCGGTTTCCTTTCTCGTCCACAGTCTAATCAATTGTTGGTTTGATGTTTCATTTTAGGCAAGACTGGGAAAAATTAAGGAGTATGTTATCCTTCTATCTTAAGCAGGTATGAGGAGGTATGCCAGGTTGTCTGGTCATCTCTTGTTTACCCTGATAATGATTTATTCTTCAACTGTAGTCTTGAGCAACATGTATTTTGCTATATAATATTGTCTATCTTGAAGGTCCTGTCTGAATATCCAGAGTCGAAAATGACCACCGAGCAGCAGATTTCTTTATTAGGAGAGACCTTCTTGCTCAACCACTTTTCCAACCTACTACGTACTTCCTATTCATCCACCTTTCTTTTATTTTTTATTTTTTACTTTGTTTGTCCCAGTTATTTGGCTGCACTAGAATTGCCAAACACATTTTACTCTGTGCAACAAGGTTTTACACATGTACACCAAATAACTCCTGTTTCTTGTTTCTTTTTCCTCTCCTTGGTGGGCGGTGGCTTTGTGAGACAAAATTTAACAGTTGTCATGTCTGAAGTAGACTGATGATCTACTTTTTTCTAAGAGCTCTTTGATCTCGTAATTAATGAAGATTATTCTATAATCTTGTGCTGCTAGAATGAGAGAAACTGGATAAGACTTGCTATTTCAAAAGATTATATTTATTCATTCATATGAATACATAACGCTAACTAACTTGGTGACCTAACCTTAACTCCTGAAACTTGTTGATCATGTTTGGCTAAGCTTAAATAAATTTTGTAGAAACATGTTTGGATAAGTTACTTTATTCTTCATTATCTACGGAAAATTTGCAGTAGAGGTCCCAAACCTTTCAAAAATGTGCAGCTAGGCCTCAAACCTTCTAATCTTAACACCTATATCCCAAACTTTTTAATATATGTGTGCCAGAAGAACCTTTAATGGTTTCCATCCAAAAATGTGTCAGTTGACCAAAAGTGAAATGTCTTGCATTAATTGACCAATAGTTAAAGCAATTACAAAAATATAAACAAAAGCAAAAATTAAAAAACATTCATCTTCCCCCATCCCCTGACCTACTCTTAACTCCATCCAACCACTGAAGTGAATTCTTTAACATTCCTATTCCCATTCCATCAGAGGATTCAGATTTCACCTTTCTCAGTTTCAGAATTCCCTCCAATTTTACTCTTAAGTCAATGTCTCGTTGCTATCTGATTTCACTTTCCTTAATTGACTTAGAATTCTTCTCAATCGCATCACCAGGTTGCTCAACAGTCCCCTTTAGATGATAATGCAGATCTTGTTTTCTTAATCCGAATTGGGCTTTTCTCAATCCAATTCCCATCAACAGAAACACTCAATTCTTTACAATATTCATCCGAATTCTTCCCCATTTTAGGTATTTGGCAATCTGAAGTGGGCTCCCTTCAAAAGTCTCGAATTTCCTAGGTTTTCTATTCCCACTCACCCCCCACACAGGACTCCTTTTCAGCTTCATATTCACTCCTACATCATTGTGAACCTCAGTATTATTAACTCTACTGGCACTACTGAATTTGTTTTCACCAGAATTTTCCTGAATGCCATCAAACTGCTTCTCTGCTGAGAAGGCTGTCTTTGTACTGAGCCTTAAGCGGGGTCATTAGTTGATACAACATTTTGAAAATTCCCTAGGAAGAATGAGGATTTGAGAATGGTGGTTGGAATTCCCAGGTGGTGGCCGCTTCGGTGGCTGGGTGGGGTTAGGGTAGGTTGGGGTTGGGTGGATAGGGGGAGATGAACTTTTTAAAATTTTTTTTGTTTCTATTTTTAAATTATTTAATTAATTAAATGTTAAAAGACCACTTTACCCTACATTAAATTGCTCAAGTTAAGGTCAATTGTTTGACTTTTTGTCGATTGACATATTTTTGGATGGAAACCTTAGAGGTCCTTCTGGCGCACATTTATTAAAATGTTTGGGATGCAGGTGCTAAGATTAGAAGATTTTGGGACCTGGCTGCATACCTATATTGCAAAATTCCTATTTACCTTTTTAAAATTAATTATTATCTATTTGTCAAATAAGTAACTTGCTTATTTTCAATTTTTATTGTACAGTAATTATTTTAAAACTTATTTTACTTATAAGTGAACTTTTAAGCTTAGCTAAACATGCTCCTTTGGTCCATTTTCTCTCTCTATGAATCTAAAACTTTGTTGTCTGAGCAGTTGACACCGGATTGTTGGAATAGATTTTTTTTTTTGAGTTGAGCTTGGTTAATTTCTATAGGACGTACTACATACTGTATATCCCACTGTTTTGCAGCTGTTCTTAGCTTCGATGAAGGTCCTCCATTTACATTGCAAAGGCTTTGTGAGGTGATCACGTTATATCCTTTTCTTGTTGACTTCAGCTTTATCTTGATGCTATGCCACCTTTTCTTTTTGGATGCTTAAGCTAATCTTTTATCCTATGAGATTTCCCTTCTGTTTTCTGCTTTGGAAATTTACCATCTTGCCAATGTTCCTTTGAAATGTTTATTTGTCTAATATATATATATATATATATAATGTCGTATACTGGTATTAGCGTTTGTATCTCCAGCCATCTGTGTTTCTCCACTCTTCAATTTGGATTCCTGAATTTAGTTTTCAATATGTTATAACTGTGTATTACGTGTTGAACAGATTCTATTGTCTACAAGAAACATTTACCCCAAGCTTTCAAAGCTCGCTTTGGCTCTAGAAAAGGTATTTTGCTTTCTTGTCTAACATCAGCCCTCCCTCTCCCAAAATTTGGATCCATTCGAGCATCTGACCTTATGTTGGGGCTTTTTTGACAATCTTGTTTGCACTTGAGAGTTCTGCAGAAATGTACCCATTTCTTAGAACTCATTTTTTTTTCAAACTTATTTTCAACCATACATTTGATGGGACCCACAACTTTTATCAACTTTTCAACCACACATTTCACCAACTTCTATCAAAATCTACTAAAAATCTAATTTTTATCGAAACCAAAATGGGGCTAAATATCGGCGGCCCCATTTTTTAATTGTAGTGGAAAAATTGTCCTTTTAAGTGGAAAATATGCATACATCATGTTCATATATAATTTCACATGGACACTTGGATGTGTTTCCATGCATCTTTATGCTTGGAAGACAAGAATGCCAAGCATTTCTTCTTCTTGGAACTTGATCGTCTAGTCGGGGAGGGATGAATTTGGTCGAACTATAGATGAGCTTAGTTGACCTGTGAGTCACTTGGGCCTAATAAGGACCCTTTTCTGAGTGAGGCTGAAAGTTCTCGCTATATATATCCTGGCAAGGGAAGCTGCTTATGGGTTCTTGGGAGTTGGGACAAAGAGTATGGGCATGGAGTGTTCAAAATGTATACTGTCTAAATTTTTGGTGGTAGTGTATCTGTTTTTCACTCCATCTTGGATGCATCATGTCTTCATGATTTGATTGTGCTGATCCATTTGTTTGATATGATTTATTTCCAGCCATTATTCAAGCACGAGAAAGAAAATATCTTAGATATTTATTCCATCAAGACTTAGGAATAGATAAAATTGGAGCACTACATATTGTACGGCCATGTTTTTTTGTTGCTAATTTGCATAAACATTGGTTCTGGTATATTTGATGATTTTATTCCCTGCAGAATCTGCTGGTTACATCTACATTGACTGTCTCAAATGATTCATATCCTCCAGCAACCATACAAAAATCTAACGGAGCTTATGAAAAGCCCAAGAATCCCCACCATCAGGCCATTTCAGTAGAAAATGGGGTTGAGCCTGCTGTAGGGGATGGGGATGAAATAATGGCTGAGGCAGAGGAAACTGAGGTTGATGAAGGTATGACAATAGACATGGAAACTATTGAAGAAATAGCCAGATCATCAGAAGCAAATTCAACACCGACTGTTGAGTCATAGCATTGCATCAAGAGTTTTACAGCATCACTGAGTACCCATAGAACTCGTAATATATGGTCTTTTAGCAAGGGCGAGAAAGCTGGAGGCTGAATACTGCATAAAAGGCAATATTGAGTCAGCCCCTTTGTATTATTATCATTTAAAAACCTGCTCTTTCAGGTATAACATATAATAATGTGCTGAAACTTCATGCATATTTTAACAACTTATGCCTGGAAGATAAGAATGGTTTGGTATGTGTTTTCACTTGATTATCAAATTTGGCATGATTGTATTTGATAATTGTACTCTTCATTGGTAAATTTATTTTTAAGGATCTTTTGAGGGGTTTCTGCATAAGCATTAGACTTGGGTTTAATTTGTTGTCGTGACCTAAAAAGTGATTGGCATTAGGTATTGCATGCTACAAGGATTGGTAACTAGACTAAATTAAAGGTGTCATCTCTAGTTTCTGAGTAGAGTGAGTTTGGCTTAAATTTGAATCTTGGTATCGATTTCCTGCAAGTGTATTGATTGGGACAAGTAATAAAATAGTCGTTAGTCCAAGTATCGATTTCACAAAGAATAAGTTCATGCTTGGTTTAGCTAACACTATTTTTATTAATTTTTGGTAAAAGTTGGAAAAATTTGTGCATTACATGACATGTGATTAAAAATGAGATTGAGGAAAATGCGTGGGGACTAAACAGTGGCTTAAGTATCTATAGCCTAATAATTAATTAGGTAGGTGAGATGGTGATGATATTAGTAAACTAGATCTGTAATTGATCTAATCAAACCTTACTAATTAGTACTAAGAATTATAATAGTACAATAACACCAATTAAAATAAGTACATCACCACCTGAAAGTAAAAGAATGTGGAAGCAAGACAGAAATAGTCTAGAACGAAAGAAGTTTGACCCATTATTCCCTAGTAAATTACAATTTATTTTTCTTCTCACTTTTATTAATCACACATTCTCTAATAAAATAATGTTACACGTAAATGCAAAAGCGTTTCCTTCTTTTTTAACCACACATTCTTTTAAAAATTACATTTTCTTTCATTATAATGTGGAATAATGGGAGTTTCCTCGACAAGGGCTCTTTTAATTATATGGGATATGTGTTTATGAGCCTCCTAGCTTCCTTTCCTGACATTGTAGATGAAAGAACATATTTATAGGAAATAATTAGGTAAAAAATTGTGTGCCAATTGGTTTTCATTAAGTAATTTACATTTTGTTTGAGCTCCATTATTTGAAAAAAATTGAAATTTTGAAATAGTGTTTTTTTGGAGAATGTGTGGTTAAAAGGAGAATTTTTGGGTTTAGTTATAATATTATTTTATTAAAAAAAAAATCTCTAGTTGATAAGATGAGATGAAAAAATGAATTAAAATTTAATGAGGACCAAACACGAACTTATTAAAATAAGGAAATAGGTTTTCCCGGGCGAAATAGGAGTTGCAATGCGATCGTATCTAAGGACCTACTTGGTCACTACTTTTTCCTCAATTGGCATTGGCTTGGCAACGCGCCATGAGCTTTTTCCCTCTTACAATTTGGTCCTCAAATTACTTTCTTCATTCATTTTGAGTCATTTCTTTTTTGTATCTTTAGTCTTTCATCTTTATATCTTCATAATTTAACCATAATCATTTCCCATTTATCTGTAATTGATTCGATGTAAGTTCTCAAAGTTTACAATTTAGTCCTCAAACTTTTTATACCTTGAATATAGCTCTTCAAACTTGTGAATCACCTCCAATTTTCCTCATTGGTATTCCAATTGCAATTCGATTGATAATCAATTGCTCAGAATCATCACTAATTTAGCTTGAAAATGTCTATTAAATGCCAATTACGTCCAAGTGCACTCAAATAGGGGTTTTACCTACAACTAACGTATTTACATACAAATTGTGTAGATATCCGTTTAATTAAATATAAATAAGCAAGAAATCATGGATAAGTGCACTTATCAAACACCCAAAACGTGAACTCTTGTTCATCCCCGAACAAAACTATCTACTAAATATATAAGCAAACAAACATAAATAATAACTTTTTCAAACTCGCATCAAGTATTGAAATTATTGAGAATTCACAAAGAGTTCATAAATAATACAATTGGAATCAATTTTCACTTACTCATGCTGTATCGATGTGAAGGCATATAGTTTATCAAATTATGACGATTCTTTAGTTTTGTTATTTTCCAATGCTCTTTCTCACTCATAAGATGCACACCTCCAATTTATTTTTCAATCACATACCCAGGGTATTCATTCTAAGGTTGATTGCATAAACTCTTTCCTTTTTGCTCAATTTTTTGTTGGGTTTCACCAATGAAAGTGACTAATTGACAAGTAATGATTCTCTTTAAATTTGAATGCCTCAACCTTCAAACTTTACCTAGAACAATATCCTTATTAGAAATTTAAATCCTTATTGACAAGTAATGATTTTCTTTACACCCAGAATGGTTCTAGTGAAAAAACACTACATACAATTTTAAACAAACACAAAATCAACATCTATTTAAATAGAGTAATGCTATTTAGCATCACAGTTTAGATGACGTTAATATTGCATTAAATGATATGTAGAATTAATAAGTCATTTAATTCTATATTTCATTTAGTCTATCATTTAGCGTCATCTAGATTGAGGTTGCAAGCCCAGGACTACATAGCAATACTCATTTAAATATGTTCCAACACCGGATCAATCATCCCTAAACTTAGTTTTTGCAATATGTTAAGTGGTTACGTTTTTACAATTTGATCTTGGTTCCTCATCGTAAGTTCAAAATTAATTCAACCTGATCTACAATTGTAAACAATCCAAAAATACATAATAATCTTCATGATTATTGTGTTTAATATTATACAATCTCTCTCTCTCTCTCTCTCTCTCTCTCTCTCTCTCTCTCATATTTGAATTTTTTAATTAGCCAGCATGGCTTACCAAAATTTTTAAATTCGAATTTTATGCTAAATCACACAAACAAGCAAATATACAAACAACAAAGTTATTCCACTCCCAACGTTGTCCTCAATGTGTTCACGAAATAGGTTTAAAAAAGGTTAGCAATACTCGCCGTGTATATGAGGCCGTGATCCTTATTAGTTAGTCTTTTATCTTCCTTCTCTTTCCTTTGTTTGCATTGTAACATGTTTCAATCATACCTGAAAAGAGAGAAAAATTAAGTTCCATTATACGATAGTCAAGACTAATCCTATCTGAATTAGGATTGTGATGCTAGGATACTACCCTATAATTGAAATACTAGAAAATCAATAATTAAATATTGTGCCATAGTACTAATACAATTGTAGCTGACTATATGCAATGCAATTACGAAAAGCATGCTAAATAAAAGGTCAAAAGAATTGAGTTGCCTCCCTAAAGGCGCTCGTTTATAGTCTTAATCTGACTTTTGCAATGATGTTTCATGAAATTTGAAGTAAACTTTTGATACATTGCTTAGTTTGCTTCAGTTGATTTTGCTCCACTCTGCATTACTTCTTCAAACTTTTATCTTGCCCCTATTAAAATAATAAGAATTGCCTATTCCCCCAATTCAAATTTAACTAAAGTAGACTTCTACCACATCGTCAACTTTAACTACAAAATCATTGTTGAGCAATCAATGAAGTCTCTTCATTAATTTCTACCTTTTCATTTGGTTCCTTTATGATTAAATTTTCATGCTCTTCACGCTCTTCTTTGTTAGTAATTATCTCCTCGGGTTGAACAGACGGTCCACAATCCAAATTCTTGAACAATTTAAAGTATTCATCATCATTGTTGTTTATATCATGTTCAGGGAAGTTCGATAGATTGGATTGTCATATTAAATCCAATGGCAAATCATCCTCATCAAAGTTTGCAACTGCATCATGTGTAATCGTTTAAATTTTTTGTAGGGCAAAGAAGTCTCCCACAAGCATGTCTTCCTTATTAGCGACTAGCGTATTATGTCCCGTCATAGCAAAGACATCTCTCTAAGTATATCTACATTATCATTTTGTAAGCATATCGAAAACACTGAGATCAATCATTGCAATGTATGTTGCTACTTCTTTGCTTCTCTCCGTTCTCTATCAATGAAACCAAGTAAAGCAAGTAATGTAGCTAAAAAGAAAAAGAAAAAATTAATTAAAGCGATAATTAACTAAAAACTAACTAAATCAAATTCCACAATAACAACGCAAAAAAACTTACAGATTTTTATTATTCCACTAGTGTACGAATCGTAACAAGTAATAAAGTTTACCTGATTTCAAGTATCGATCCCACGAGGAATAAGTTCGAGCCTACCTTCAATTAACCTTAATATAATCGAATGTAAACAAACAATTAATTAAGTGATATGATGATGATATTAACTATCTAAATCTATAATCGATCTAATCTAACTATTCTAACATAACTAAGTGGTAGGAAGCGTTTATGAATCTTAATTACATTAGAACCCGTATCCAAAACATTGATTCATCTTAACATCAGTTTTACAATTAGACAATAATATTTCATACGAAGATCATTCTTCTCAATTTATCTAATAATTGTTGTAATATTTTAGTGGATATACTACTAGGCCGAAATACAAGTTTCTTTATATGTTAACTGCAAGGAAAACAACTTACGACAACAACAAGGAAACCAACTCGTTAACTGCAGTAAAATATCAAAATAAGAAATTGAAATTGCAACAAGAAATAAATTCCCAAACCGAGGCCTGTGTGAACACAGTTTCCTTAAAACAGATTCGCCCCCTCACCGTTCGTGGTTGAGGTATAGTTTGAGCATCTGCTTCCCAGTATATAATGGTCAACCAGTAAAATCTGAACACAACAGTCTTTACTCTGGCGAACTGAGTTAGTGCTCGAACAATATCACCATCAGAAAATCGAAACAAGGTTTGGAAGGAAAACAATATGCAAGACAAACAGAAGCAGAATGCAGAACTGGAGTTCGACAGTATGCAGAACATGAGGAAATTTCATG